ACTTTCTTGATTAGATGTACCTTACAACCTTCAGTCTGTTTTGCAATTGGACATTAGGTTGTGAGGACCTTGCTGCCTTTTAGAGAACCTACAGGAAGTAATGGGATACTGTCAGGCTATATTCTTGTGCTAATACTCCTGCACAGGGATCTGTCTGCTTTACTATGAAGAAGCATAAGATTATTCTGATATTTTTAAAAGCATTCACGATGGAAACAAAATGTATTTCTTACACTTGCCAGATGCCATCCAGGGCATCCACCACTCCATTAAAAAATTACTTTTGTGGAATGATAGTACTGCACAGAAATAAAAAATAAGCTCTTTTAGTCGGTCCTGTTAATGCTCTGTCTTTCTTGTCCCAAAGGGTACCTTGGGACTTAAGCCTGTTTTTGCAAGAGGCTCTTGTGCATTCGTAGAGTGTGCCCAACTGGGCTGACCTCCTCTTCTACATGCAAAATCAAACATCCCTGAGAAGTAGTAAATCTCAAAGTAAGTCTGATTTTTGGAATAGCAAATCACTGAACTTGCAGAGAGGCTGGTAAATATTTGGAAAAAAACATTTCTTACACAAAGCAGCAGCTACTTGTGAAAACATTCCTATGTTAAGTATGTACAGTAACTAGTCATGTGAAGTGTGCTATGCCTGTGCAAATGAAAACGTAACAGTGCTATTACAGTTTTATTGACACTTCTCTGAGTATTTCTTTTGGAAACAGGCAGTAACTGATGCACAGTTTAACCAAAGTGACCTAAATTCTCTTAGGGATTTTGTTCTACTTATTAGGGAAGCCAAAGTAGTGTTATTTTGTCCTCAAAACAGATTTTGGTGGGAACAAGATTCCCTTATAACTAGTTCTTTGTGATACTGCAGTATCCCGGCTCAGTCAATATGGAAGACAGTCTTACAAGTTTTCTAAAGTATTTCAGTATAAATGCTCAGCCTTAAGGAGACATGTTTGGTGCTTACAATGTCAACTTCTCAGCATCTTGCACCTGTTTAAGTGAAGAATAAACTTGAAGTATCTTCAGAAATGCTTCCACATGAAGAAGACATTCAGATATCTCTTTGATTTCCTAAAGTATTAGTATTTAACTATGTCTTTATCTGTAAGAGCCTAGCTTTACCTAGCAGTTTTTTCCTGGACAATTTCATACATGTTTTGAAAAGAGATGCAGAAAGCTGGACTGGAATGGGCGTGAGCAGCTATCTGCTATGTCCCAGCCTATGTGTAGGATCAGCTGCACCATTCTTAGAAAAGTCCTTGGAGAGAGATATTCAGTAACCTTCCTAGGCAAAGCTATTCAAGATCTGAGGCTTTTTTTATAATAAAGATTTTTTTCTAATGTTTCATGTAGACTTCCCTAGCTGAAATTCTAACTGATTATTACTGCTCCTGTTAATAGTCATTCATAGGACTAAAAAGACAATGTGTCCCCTAATATGGAATTATTTGTGCCTTACTAAGCTTCAACTGAATGAGTGATGTCTTGAGTGCCTTACACTGAACCTAGATCACAGAAGAGTTGAGGTTGGAAGGGATTTGTAGAGAATGTCTAGTCCAGCCCTGCAGCTCAGAGCAGGGTCAACCAGAGCAGGTTGCTCAGGACCGTGGATGGAGACTGCAGTCTTCAGCCAATCTGTTCCAGCATTTGACCACCTGCACAGAAAAAAAATCCCTGTTTTCTTAGGTTTAAATTTAACTTCCTGTGTTTCAGTAGGTTCTCGCTGCCTTTTGTCCTTTTGCTGGGTACTTTTGCTGAGAAGGGTCTGGCTTTGTTGTCTTCCTCCTGTCAAGTATTTATGCACATGATAAGATTCCCTTCTGCACCTTGTCTTCCCCAGGCTGAACACCCGCAGCTCTCTCAGCCTTACCTTGTATGACAAGCACTCCAGTACCTTAATCATCTTCATTATCCTTCACTGTACTCACTTTGGTATGTACGTGCCTCTTTAACAGAGCCTTAACATAACCAAATTTAAAATGTGTACAATTGTCTATGTAAATAAAGGACCATATTTTAAATGAAAAGCATTGACCACAGGGTTTGCCAGACCATGTCTGAGTCATATGTTTTGAAGTAAATATCTTAATCTTTCAGTTGTCCAGTAAACAAACATACTTTCGACTACTGAAAAGGCTGGACAGGAAGCTGCTGTGTGACAAAAGTCCTGCTGCTTTCTGCTGTGAATCCAGCTGAATCTAAGAGATCTTCTGGTCTCTTTTTTTATTATAGAAAAATGAAAAAAAAACCTGCCATAGAAACTTGTAGCCAGAGGGTATGACACGAGGGTAAGATTTGTCAAAGTATACATTTAGGAAAGCATATGTAGCTTTGCTATTTCAGTCTTTGCAAGGTACAACAGGGTGTTTTGCTCTAGGTGTCTGCAGTACAACTAGAGAGACTCATGGTTCTTATCTCCAGAGGTATATTGGACGCATATTCAAACAGTGTCCAGATTCTGGCTATTGCGGCATAATGTCTCTTAGTAAGTTTCAGCTGTCTTAAAGTTGCTTCTGTAACCCAGGGGCTGGCATGCTGCCTGTATCCCAGCCTTTCCTATTTGCAAGCTAGTTAATGCACAAACAGTATCCTTGCACCTACCATCACCTATTTCGATAGACTGTGGTATGTCCTACTTCTCCAGGAGAGAAAGCAGTGTATTTCAGAATAAATTACCTGTTCTGTGCAGACTGCTAGACTTGGTGGAATACTTAAGGCCAAGGTTGTTTGGAATCTTTAAATTAAAGTCCTGACAGGCTAGAGCTATAAAAGCAAATGACAGCTTGGATTCATTAACTTGTTTGCTGCATTGCTTACAAATGATGGATTAACAGCTTAAAATGCTGGTTTACATTCATTGTAATTTAGTTTGTGCCTTTGATATCTGACTTCACCCTTAATATCATATGATTTGTCAGTCATTTTGACTGAATGATATTTAGCTTGCAAATATTACGATCTCCCCTTACTGCCAGGCTTTTATTTCTTCTTGTGCTTTACCAAGTTAAACCGGCTGAAAGTGTATCAAGACTTAGGTAGGTTACAAGCTCTGAGGAGAGTTTTCAGACCTGCAGGTTCCAGAGATCAGATCTAATGTGCTTTGCTTAAAAATGATTTTTGAGGGATGCAGAAATGAGTATATTGCAATTGAAGTCTCTAGTCTGCTGCTTCAGATGGTTCAGGAGCAGCCACCTCTGTGCTTGCAGAATGTGCTTGGGAGGTAGTAGCAGCAGTGCATGCAATCCTTTCAATCCCACCACAAGTAAAACAAAGTTAAGTTACCTCCGTAATGGGATATAGAACTTATTCCTAAGTGATCACCCTGTAAGTGAAAATATAATTCAGAAGACACTTTGATAGTCAGTATGACACCATCTAGAGCATATAATGGCAGTGTAGTCTAGTGACCCAAGTGGCAGCACAGAACTTGTGATGTGTAAGAATGCAGGGTCAGTGAAGTGGTTGGTTTTATATGATCCAACAACAAATAATTTATTTTTCATGTTTTTCTGAATATCTGGGAAAATCTTAATAGTTTGTGGGTGGGTCTGTGCCCTTTCCTCCTGAACAACATATTTCTTTGTCCTTATCTGTAGTGACAGTGAAGCAAAAGTACATCATGGTGAGGTTTTACTGGAAATGTATTTTCAGGTTTTAGAGTGTGCTGCTCAGGCCTTCTCTGGTTATCATAAAGAAAGCAGAAAAGCTTACATGAAAATGTTACAAGCGCTTATAAAGCCCATAAGCAATATTTTATTTAAAAACAAACAAAAAACCCAAACCAAAAAAACCCCCACAACCTAATGAAGCCAGGCTTCATTATGCTTTGGCATTGTGTTGGGCAAGATGATCCTTTTTGGATCACTGGGATTACATAACTAGCTTAGAAGCTACGATTAATCATTCTATTTATTGATTTTGTCAGAGATTCTTATAAATAAACAGAAGTAGGTTCAAAACCTCCATTACATCATATTCACTTTTCAACTTGCAGAAGCAGCTGTTTTAATCTCTTAGAAATGTTTGTGTCAGCTGGTCTGTAAATGATGATTCCTGTTGATGGGACTTTCTCTATCAATGATAATTAGGAGGAGATGGCGGCAGCTCCAGCAGTTTAGTTCTTGCTCACTGTTTTTTGTTTCACTTCAGTACCAGTTGTGATGCAGCAAGTGGTTGGAGATTGCTACGTGTGTATATGCTCAGCTCTTGCGTGTGATCACCGGGTACAATATCTATATGCGTTTGCTGCACCTTGGCCATTAACTGCATTCTTTGTAGGATGTCACAGACCATTCTGAAACCATCCTAACAGTTGATTCTTTGATCTTATGCTCCACAAGAGAAAGAATAGAATTGGCAATAGAAGCTGTTTTTGTCAAGACTCACACAGCTGCTGCTTCACTTGTTTTTGTTCCTGAGGATAAATGAAGTCTTTGGTTTCAGAGCTATCATTTGTTTCAGGGCTAACGTTAGTTTTTACAACATAACCAAATATGAAAACAAAATGTTTTTTCTGCTCGTGATGCAATGAAGACGAGAGAGGTCAGGATGGGTACCTTATGCATACTTGTTTTATCTCCAGAGAAAAAAATACTTTTAGCACCACACAGCCTCTGTTGAGGCTTCAGAGAGAAAAGTGGTGTGAAGCTTGTGTAAACTGTTAAGAGGCTAAAGCTTGAAGTACCTCATGATGGTGAAGCCAGTAATTCCAAGTATTCCCCATTTCACAGGAGTTGTGTTATATGAACGAATTTATCAGTAAAGTGAAGTAACTACAAAAGAAGTAACAGAGACTAGAGTTACATTACGCAGCAGCTTTTTCATACTCTTTTTTTCCATTCTTTTGGAGGGGAGGGTGTGAGTATAATGGGTTGGAAACTGTGATTGGCTGAAATACTTTTTGAGGTTCCTAGTGCTAATTATTTGAGAGAAATAATTTAGTTTCAGGGTTGTTGCTTGCTGTGTAATCCATTTAAATCTATTTATTTTAACAGATTACCTCGCTAGCCATGGCCGTCTAAGTGAGTCAGAGGCCAGGCGCAAATTCTGGCAGATCCTCTCAGCAGTGGAGTATTGCCATGGTCGTAAGATTGTTCACCGTGACCTGAAGGCTGAAAATCTTTTGCTTGACAGCAACATGAACATCAAAATAGCAGGTACTCAGAATGTAGATGATATTCAGCAACAACTTATCTTTATGAAGGCCTTTCCAGTAATTGCTGCCCAATATATCCTGATGTGCTTAAGGGACAGAAAATCAGAGTGGTAATACGTGTAATATTTTTGTATTATGGATATCGCAGTACATGTAGCTAAAATAATTCCTAGATTAGCTCTATTATACTTTCAGGAAAAAGGAATTAATTTTTAGAGTTAGAATAATTTTTTGTGGGTGTCATAACATGTCTGTAGTGCTGCCAGATGTTCAGGTTAAAACAGAGTTAATCAAATAACTTCTTTGAACATTAGAAAAACTCAAAATGGAAGCTTATTGATTTTTTTGTTTTGCATGCATGATTTAATTTTAATTATACATTTAGACACATCAGATGTTGCTAGCAATGGAAATCATTTTGGCAGTTGTCAACTCATTACAATTCCATGAATTCTTCTATACTGACTTTAGCCCAGCAACACTTGAAATTGGAAAGCTAGATAATGTCTTGATTTGGAGGACTGTTGAACTTCAGTCATCAATAATACGGGAGCAGGAAAGGAAGTCTTAACTGCTATAAGAAGTTGGTTTGTATAAGAGTAAGCTTGCTAGTTCTGAGAAGGAAGTGTGAATAGATAGCCAATCAGGCTGAGAAAGGTAAAGTGATAAAACATTTCTGAGATCACTGCTGGATTATTTTATCCTTGAATTTGCTCTCTAGCATTTCTGAAATGGATGAGCTGAAAATGTATCTTGATCTCTAATGCTTCCTGTAAGGACAAAATTGCAGAAAAGTGTTACATGCACCAGCAGCTATCTAAAAGATGAGCTCCTTTTTGACTGTGGGGTACAAAGACAGTGTCCTGAAAGATTTTAAAGGAAAAGTTAACACCTGTTTAATTGATTAGCATCTGTTTCACAAAGATTCACCCCTTTCTTTGCAATACTACAGCAAACATTGGGAAGACTAAGCAATTAATTCTGGGGATTAACTTCAGCCTCAGGAAAAATCTTTTAAATCCTTTCAAGTCATCTTTATCAGAACAGAAAATCTACACAATCTTTTAAAATGTGCACTTGCCTTTGAGATGAAAACTATTTCTTGAGCAAGAATTTTATCCTTTTTAAACTTAGAGAAAAGGAACCCATAGTCATTGCTATGAAAAAAAAAAACCACACACACACAAACACACACCCCACATCCACCCAACATAGGCTATCTTTGCCTATGAGAACGTTTTATTGATGGACCAAGAAGGATTTCTTATCAATGTATGTATTAATAGAGTAGCTTTCCCAGATCCTAGATATGTTTGTTGCTTTTCTATTGACCTTTGGTTTTTCATGTACATTTAAAACATTAATTTCTTCATTCCTCTACCACCACTTTTCCACCTCTAGCATCTTTTTCACATGGTTTACGAGTTTGCAGAAAGGTTAATCAACGGATAAATTAAAATTGAGGAAAAAGAAAATACAGCTATGTGAGTTCCAGAACCATGATTTTCATAGACTGTTAGGCTACTGTTTGTTATCAAATCTGAATGTAAGGCAGGGGTTTTTGGCAGAAAGAACAGTGTGATAAACAGATTCTCTGAAGCTAGAGAGGGAAGCCTATGGCATCTTCTTAGTATTTTGCATCTCTCTAGCATCTCAGAGTGGGGATTTTACAGCAGGTTCATAAAAGCTGTAAAAATTGTTATTTAACACTATAGAAATTAATAGCAGAGTCTTTGCAGTAGTCTCTTTTTAATTTCATTTTATATTAAACTGTTTATGGTTATTTTAATTTTCTCTATACTCTATTGTGGGCTTTCATATTAACGTTAAACTGTAAAAATATTAAAAGCCACCATCAGATGAAGTGAAAGGGTTTTGCAGCTGTTGTAGCAGGAAGATGCAGTTCTGGTATAAGTTCTGATTTAGGGCATTTGATACATGACGAAAGCTAAAGAAACAGTTTGGGGTGGAGATGATGTCTGGACTTTATAATGAAGTGGCCCAAGTACAATAACTAATAACATTGAGATTGAATTGGTGGTGATGTCTCAAAATTCTGAAGAGTAATATGGCCACCCATGCTGTTTGCTCACAGCTGTTGGTAATAAGGCTGTGAATTTGACAGTGAATGGGTTTTGGTACTTTGTTCAGCTTTACTCTAGCAGGTTCATCAGCACTACCATTTGTAAGGTATCTTTACTTTTCTCACTTCTGATTTCAAACTTGCATTTATTTCTAGCAGCTACTGATAGCACCTCAAGATTTATGACTGACATACAATGGTATTTACCAGGACAATGTATGGCTTCAGTAAATACTATGTCGAAGGGCTGCATGTCACCTGGACCGTGCTTACTATGAGTAACTGAACTAAATATAAGGGAATTTTTGCGCTATTGTTCATTTATGCTTGCTTTCCTCGCTTTCTGATTTTCTGCTCTTCTCCCCATTTTCACCACCACGTTCTATCCCTTCAAATTTCTCTTCCTCCATGTCAGTGTTCTGCACTGTAGCTTGTCACATTCAGCCTGGCATAGTTTTTCAGAAATCATTAGGGGCCTCAACTGTACTGAAGCAGGGCCGTATTCAGAGGTATTCCTTTCATGGATGTCCTTAGCACTGCAGGGATGCAAGCTCCCTGCCTCCCTGAACAGTGCAGTGTGAGCATGACACAGGCTCACAAAAACACTACTTCAAAGGCACCTCAAGAGACCTGTTTAACTGAAGAAAGGTTAGAGACGTGAACTGTACTGTCGCAGGGAATTTCAAGGCATAGGTTCTCCAGGGACTGAGATAAAAGCATTGATAAACGGTAGTTACTAGATTCCATCAGCTGCTGCTGCTGTCTCTTTCCTCTTAGCTGCTCTTGGGCTCTATCTCTGTATTACAGAAAGTTAATTACAGGTGGTCTGTATGTAAGTGATCACGTTAACTGGTGATTCAAATAGTCTGATTCTTTCATGTATCTTTGTCAAGCTTTATCAGATTGATAACATCCTGTGTCCAGCTTTGGTGATAAAGTAGCTGGAGGAAAGTTATGGCTGCTAGAAATTTTGTAGTGATTTGTGCTGAGTCAGTTGTTTTATTTTTCTCTGTAAAGGAGATAGACGATGAATTCCACAGAATGGCTTATCTCTGATTTTGGAGCCATCTGGTGCTGTGCAGATCCCTGAGAACAGTCTCTTCCAGTGGCTCATATTCTTCATGGTTCATTTATCAAACTGTGGAAGAACAAAGGGCAGCCAGGATCCCAATTCTGATAGCTAGAGTTACTCTCTAATTCGAATTAATCTAACTATTCTAGCTAATCTAGCTATAATTAATAATAACTACTCTAATTAAAAAACAACACAGTAACTGGTGAATTATTTTGATAGAGAACTCTGCAGTGTCAGTGTTTGCATTGGGCCCCAGTACCATGCGTGGGGCTGTCCCTTCCTGATCGCTCCAAGCAGCTATGAAATCCACATAGATACTCGTGGCCATTCCAGGCTCTTCCTAACTTCCAGTGGACCTCTTGATTCATTCTGATGCTTCTAAGACTTTTATTGAAGCTTTTACTATGTAAGAATACAATGTTTTTTAGTCAAATACAGAAACATGCCTAAAGATACCTCTGTATTTCAGCTACTGAGAGAATAAACTAAGATTCAAAAATAAGTGTTCCTAAACTGTGAGCTGATGAGACTGCCACCTTTTATGCTTAAGCAAGGAGGCTGGACTGAAATTCGGTAGTTTTGTGTTAATGTTGCTCTAAAAGGAAGAGGATCGATAGAATTCAAAGGATCTTTCTTTTTGTCTTAGTAACTGGACAAGAAACAGAGGATTCATAAACATCTTGAGGTGAGAGTTTTGCTGGACTGTTATTTTCTAGAAGCTACTTAAGTAGTTGGGAGCAAAAGCCTCAAATTTTAGCATAAGTAACGTAAAAGAAAGTATTAATCAGATAAGATGTCCACTGAGAAAGCTACAGCTGAAGAATGCCATACCAGGCAGTCTCCATCAGGTTTGACATCGAATTTGTTTTTAGCAGTAGCAAGGTAAACCTTCTTTGTTCTTCTCAAAGTTATTGCCTCTTGATAGCTGGATTGTTCATGTACCCTTTACGTTTTGCTGTTTTTTGAAGGGATCATAGGGACTGGATTTCAGTTACTGATCACTGATACGCTATGCTGTCATCAAATAAAACTTGCTCATTGTCTGTACAGTGAAACATCGGTGCATTTGTGAAAATTAAATCCAGTTTGAATTGAGGATGGAATAGTGAGCTTCTCTCTGTATACTTCCAGCCCCACAAAACCACCAGATTAAGACACCTTATAGATGTCTGCAGAAATCATGCCATCTTGATGGTAAAGCTATTGTGTTTGAACCAGATCAGGTAGGAGAGACTGTTATTTTGAAATAGGTTGTAGTGCTGGTTTGTCTCGCTGGTGGACAGTAAAATATGCATTGACGTCAGAATTGGCTGATCAGCATTCAGTTCATGAAGTGGGTCAGGTTTGTTTCTAACACGCTTATACCTTTATCAGTACCTTATCAGTACCTCTCTCCCAATTATCTCCTTTGCTCATATTACTATTATAACAAAAGATCTACGTGGGTCTATGAAGCCAGTCAGATTGAAATCTCTTGGTAATTTTACAAGAATGGATTAAGTATAGCTCTGAAGATAGTATCCCCTCTAAAGGATTTTTAGAGGTACAAATTAGAGACTACGTCATATTGCTAGATGCACAGCAGAAGTTGCAGTGGCTCTGGCAGGGATCTTCCATTTCCCAAATTGCAAATGGGTCTGAAATCTTAGGCCATTTCCATTTTTAACAGTAAAACAGATGCGATGTAAATGATATATGTTCATAAAATTATACCTTCTAAATTCAAGATTATTCTAAAAGGGGTAATGAGATTGAGAAACAAAATACCTCAAATGTTGAGAGCCAATATTTGCAGATTGCACAAAGAAAGAGTTTATTCAGCTGAACACAATGCTGCAAATGA